AGCTCTCCTCCCAACTATCTCTCAGTTATTGCCCGGAATCCTCCCAAAAGCTTATCCTGTCATAAGTCTCCAGCTTGTCTCAGAGATGACCCCACCCACAGTTTCTCTTCTCTTTGCAAGCCCTCTGTCTTCCAAGCCCCACTCTCCTTAAATCTGATTCCCACCTTCATTTCTTTCTGCACCCCCTCTTCAACGTTGATTCTTCTCTTTAACTACTTCTGCTGTATATTCCCCTTCTGAGTTAGATTCAAGCATCTTTCCTTTGGGTCCTCATTCTACTTAGCTCCTGTGAATTCTCTTAATTGTAGTATGGTTATCCTGTATTATAAGGTTAATAACCCCACTTATAAGTGAGTACATGACACATGTGTCTTTCTGCATCTGGGGCACTCAGGATGGTCTGTTCTAATTCCATCCATCTGCCTGCAAATTTCATGATTTCCTTGTTTTAAATAACTGAGTGGTATTCCCTTTTCTTAATGTACCACAGTTTCTTTCTCCATACTTCAGTTGAGGGACATCTGGGTTGTTTCCAGTTTCTGATTATTATAAATAAAGCTGCTAAGAACATAGTTGAGCAAATGTCTTTGTTGTATGGTGGAACATCTTTTGGGTATATGCCCAGGAGTGGTAAAGCTGAGTCTTGAGGTAGAGCTATTCTCAATTTTCTGAGAAAGCACTAGATTGATTTCCAAAGTAGTTGTACAAGTTTGCACTCCCACCAGCAATAAAGGAGTGTTCTCTTCTCTCCACATCCTAGCCAGCATGTTCTGCCCCTTAAGTGTTTGATCTTAGCCATTCTGATGGATGTAAGATGGAATCTCATAGTCTTTCTGATTTCCATTTCTCTGATGATTAATGATGTTGAGTATTTCTTTAAGTACTTCTCGGCCATTTGAGATTCCTCTGTTGAGAATTTTCTGTATATCTCTGTACCCGTTTCTTAATTGGGTTATTTGGTTCGTTGGTGTTTAATTTTTTGAGTTCTTTGTATATCTTGGATCTTGGCCCTTTGTCAGATGTGGGGTTAGTGAAGACCTTTTCCCAATCTTTAGGCTGCCATTTTTCTCTATTGACATTGTCCTTTGCCTTACAGAAGCTTTTCAGTTTCATGAGGTCTCATTTCTTAATTGCTGAGCTTATGGAGCTCTGTAAGCTGTGTACCCCTCGCAGGCAGGAGAAAGGCTGGTTGGCCTCTGATGTGGGTGTTCCTGGGGGACCTACAAGACTGTGGCCAGCAGGCCTCTTCCAGAGGGAAGAACATGGATCTCGGATAGCTGTGTACCTCTGGAGATGAGAAAATCTAGAAGTTGGCTTTCAGCAACCTATAAGATAGTAAACCTATACTTCCTATAAGATAGAAACCTTACTTCCTAAAAGACAGTAAACCAGGAACTGGAGAGATGGTTCAATGTTTAACAACTTGGTTTTCTTAAAGTAGACCAGGTTTTCATTCTGAGAACCGGTATTTATAACTCCAGTTCCAGGAAATCCAATACCCTCTTCTGGTCTCTGTGGGCACTAGGCAAGCATGTGGTGCACATACATGCATGCAGGGAAAATAAATTCATACATACAAAAACCAAAACTGAGTAAGCTTTTAAAGGACAAAAAGATAGTTAGTAGTCAATGAGGCAGTCAGGTGGAAGACACCTAAGTCATGGCCTGCCCACAGTAGGGGCCACTACGATGAGCAAGTACATGGCAGAGGGATGGCAGAGAAACAGAAGCTGAACAGTTTGAACACTATAAAGAGATGCAGAATTGAAGATGCAAGGTGGAGAGGAGCAACCTGATATGTGTATTGGTGTCCTACGACCCGAGGCCATGATAAAATCCTGGCCCATGCTGCCATTGAGGAACATGCCTGGGTCCATGGCGGTGTAGCAGTAGGGGTTTGGTCAATGTCTGTGACTCATGGTCATGCAGATTTTCCTGCTCTGCACTGCAACCTTGGATCGTGTTGATTTCCATGGGCTGTGCAGAGTGGGCCCTGCACCTCACCTAACAGCACAGTAGAGCTGAGTCAGTGGGCCCTGAAGGTGAGACCTGAGTAGAGCTGACCTTGCCCCTTGCCAGATGTGGCTTTGGGTAAGCTAGCTGGAATAGTGCTGGAGAGCTCACACTGGTTTTGTGGGCACAGAAGAGCTGGCAGTGGGATGACCAACTCAGCTACCACCCAGGCACAGACACAGGGCTTTGAGATCGCCCACTACAATACATACCATATCTATGAAATGTTGGAGCAATTGAAAGAGCCAGTCCTTAAGATCCAAAGCTACAGGATCTCCATAATACAGGGCAACAACAGGATATCCTAGACGACTCCCAGTGATGATTGACTATTGACTGTGTAGCAGAAGCCTGAGGCCTCAAACCAGACCAATGACTCATTGCAATGAACATTTCCAAGTATGTGTGGGAAAATGGTATACTGTGAAATGCTTTTTCTGCATCTAAGGAGATGATGATGTGTTTTTTTTTTCTTTTAGTTTGTTTATATGGTGGATTAAATTGATGGATTTTTGTATATTGAACCATACTTGCATACCTGGGATGAAGCCTAATTGGTTAGGGTGGATCATATCTTTGATTTGTTCTTGGATTCAGTTTGAGTATTTTGTTGTGTATTTTTGCATCAATGTTCATAAGATAACCTTGTCTGAAGTTCTCTCTCTCTCTCTCTCTCTCTCTCTCTCTCTCTCTCTCTCTTCTGGTCTTTGTATGATTTAGAAATCAAGATGACTGTGGCCTCATAGAATGTGTCTGGTAATGTTCCTTCTGTTTCTATTTTGTGGAATAGTTTGAAGAGTATTGGGATTATCTCGTCTTTGAAGGTCTGGTAGAATTCTGCACTGAAGCCATCTGGGCCCTGGGATTTTTTTGGTTGGGAGACTTTTGATGACTGCTTTTATTTCCTTAGGGGATATGGGACTATTTAATTTGTTTACCTGATCTTGATTCAACTTTGGTAACTGGAATCTATCAAGAAAATTGTCCATTTCATTTAGATTTTCAAATTTTGTGGTTTACAGGCTTTTGAAGTAACACCTAATTATTTTCGCAGCCAAACTTTGGGCAGAGCACAGCAAGTTGAGAAAAGATTGGGGGAAATAGAAGGACCCAGAGCCTACAGGAGCTCTATAAAGAAGACCAACAGGACCAAATGGGTTCCTGCAGAGACTGGTACCAACCAAGGACCATGCATGAAGAGGACCAAGACCCCTGCTTGTATGTAGCCAGCAGGGAGCTCAGTCTCCATGTGGGTCTCCTAGGGGCTGTCTCTGACATGGACTCTATTGCTTGCTCTTCAGTTACTTTCCCCTGTTGGAGGGATGGGGAAGGAGCATTGCCAAGACACAGACAAAGAAGATATAGGCAGTCCTAATGAGATTTGATAGGCTGGGATCAGATGTCAGGGGAGGAGGGCTCCCCCTTTCTGAGAAACAGTGAAAAGAAAAGGGAAGGAGGGCGGAACAGGGAGAGATGCGGGAGGGGCTACAATCTGGATGTAAAATGAATAAATTATAGTAAATATAATATAAATAATTTATAAATAAATTATAATAAATAATTTAAATTTTAAAAAGGGGCTATAGTGTGGGACAGAGAGTGACACACTACAGTGAGATTCCACAGTGAGAATTTTGTATGTTTTTTTAAATTTATTTTCATTTTATTTTGTGGGGAGGCTGAAGAATGCAGATACAAGGGACAGGGAGGTGAGTAGAATTGGGTTGCATGGGGTGAAATTCACAAAGAATCAATAAAAAGTGGGTTTTTTTTAAAAGCTCATTTTTTGTTTTTTAATTTTATTTTTATTAATTACAGTATATTCACTTTGTATCCCAGCTGTAGTCCCCTTCACCATCTCCTCCTAATCCCGCCCTCCTTCCCGCTTCTTCTCCTGTGGCCCTCCCCCAGTCCAGTGATAGGGGAGGTCCTCCTCCCCTTCCATCTGACCCTAGTCTATCAGGTCTCTTCAGGACTGGCTTTATTGTCTTCCTCTGTGGACTGGTAAAGCTGCTCCCCACCTCAGGTGGAGGTGATCAAAGAGCCAGCTGATGAGTTTATGTCAGATAGTCCCTGTTCCTATTACTGGGGAACCCTCTTGGACACTGAGCTGAAAGGTGTTTTTAAAAAGGAAATCATGTACAAATTAAAAATCGAGTTTATTTAAATGAAAAATGAGAGTCTGCCAACAGAGGATATAGTGAGAGTGTAACTTGACTGGAGAAATGGAGATTTTCTAAAGAACACATATGTCTGCCAATCTGAACGTCACATTAAATGAACAATAGATTCACCCCAAAATGGGAACTGACCTAGAAGAGAAGGTCACAGATAGAGTGGAGAATTGTCAACATAAGAGGGGTTCCATAGTTCTAACAGCCTGTCAGATATCCTTCCAGGGTGTTACTAAAGGCCAGACAATTATTCAATGGTGGGAGCCACTACACCTTGACTAGGACTACAGATGGAAGAAAGAAAGAAAGAAAGAAAGAAAGAAAGAAAGAAAGAAAGAAAGAAAGAAAGAAAGAAAGAGAAAGAAACAACAAAGAAAGAAACAAAGAAAGAAAGAGGAAGGAAGGAAGGAAGGAAGGAAGGAAGGAAGGAAGGAAGGAAGAAAGAAAGAGAGAGATATATCTCCTTGGCCTTTTATTTCAATTTTAATCTCTCTTCAGGATCCTTAAGATGATGGACTTGGAAAAATGAGACCTGGGGAAGTCTTGGGCTAGTTGAACTTGGAGGAGTTCAGGGACTCTTTGTCCCCCTTCCCAGGTTAACTACATTGTGTACCATTAATTTAGCTTTTTAAATTGGCTTATTGGGGACAGGTGGTCAAATCTGGCTGAAGGCACAAACTGTGCCCCTCCCTCCGAGTGTTGCATTAATAACACTGTGTGAACAAGGGACACATCCAAAATGTTGGGGCTGAAAATGGGATAATAAAACTATTTCATGTTCATTGACTCAATCCACAAAAAACCAATACAGAGTCACAGTAGGAATAGACATTTTAATATTGGTAAAACACGAACCTGGAGGAATAAGGTCATTTAATAAGACAGGGTATGAGAAAAGTAAGCATCAGAGTGATGAGGGAAACCTCTTTCTTCATGGGCTGAACAAACCATATTGAGGTCTCAGTACAAACTGCATTATTTCTGAGTAAACCAGACCATAACCAGACTCATGTGCTTAGTGGACTAAAGATTTTATTATTATCAACCTCGTACAGAATGATTAATGCTTAAGAACAGATATCTATGTACAAATCTGACTCAAATCACTTAGTCAGGAGAAAGAAAGGTGTGGAGCATAGACTGGCGATGCCCACCTAGAGTACATCAAGAATGTTCACAAAAGTAACCATGGGAAAAATGGAAACCTTGATTCTCTATGATCTTGAAGTTACATTGCCCCTGGGGTTGGCTTTCAGTTTACCTCCAACTTCTTCTAAGAAGAGAAAAACTCAAGTTATATTTGAGTATGTATTGTATATAATGGCAGGTATATAAAATAAAAGGTGAGTGGAAAAAGGATAATGGAGACAATTATCTAAAGCAGGCACTGCCAGTCCTTAGACTGAAGTACAATGTATTTTTAAAAGTTGGGAGAAACAACAATGCATGCAAATGTTCAATACTACTCCAATACAGGAAACAGTTCCTGTCTACCAGTGCTTGTCACAGGGGACACACAGACACCAAAGGTTATATCCACTGGGACCTAGAAACATAGCCAAAGCAGTGTGGTCATCCTTCACTTTCATAGTAAGATACAGGCTGTAAGGTATCTAAGACAAAAATCTATCTTAGCAGAAGAGAAGGTGAAGGACTTGGCAGGGGGCAGGAAAGAGCCTCATTTTTCCAGGCATCACCCTCAACACTTGAAGATCGAGGAACTCACGGATGTCTTCAAGAATTTATTGGCGGTACGCATAAGCATGGAGAAGCCACGGACTGTGACAAGGGGAGAAAAGAATCAGAGCTCTGGGAGAACAGGTGGGAAGACACTTCTTTGCCTTGACCTCTGTCTACCTCTCAAGTCATCCACCCTCATCCCTCCTATATCTTTCCTCAATACTCTTGGCTTTTTCTTTCTATGTGCCCCAACTTGCCTTTAAGCTACTCTGATTCAGAACTCTTCAACAGGGAGACAATGAATGCCCAAGGAAAATTGGTTCTGAGTATAGGACTATTGAAAATCAGCTCAATACTGAGCAACAGAGGATGGTCACTGCCATATTGTGTCCTTGTCACTTGCCATCTTCCCCATCTACATCCTTTCCACCTTTACTCACCCTTTTCTGGCCCCAATTACATATTTCAGCCATATTCTTCCCCAGAAAGTTGAGCTAAAGGAGCAGAAAAGCTCTGAATCTGCATGGGGGAAGTGAAAGTGGGAACTATGCAATGCTCATTCTCTGCCATGCCTGGAGGCATGGTAGCTAGCTTCCTAATGGAGAAGGAAAGGGAGTAGGGACTGCATTCCTACCTGCATTATTGTGAAGCCACACTACAGCCTTTCTTTCCAGAAGTCCCCACTCATTCTTCAAGTCCTTGCAATTGGCATGCAGCCAGATCACAGCCAGCATTGTAGCCCAGGCTGAGGGTTCTAGTACCTGCACAGACAGAGAATTCCCCATGTCCAGATCAGAGCAAGAAATCCCTCAAGAGAACACATGTAAAACTCCACTTGCTCTCCCATTCAGTATCTTCCAAACTGCTGCTGCATAGAGTTTCTTGGTTCCCACCCATCCCTACCTTGAACATATTATGTCACACATTTCCCTGATTATCAGGTTAACAAGCCACTGGGGCTTAGGACAGAAAAGTCTCTAGCGCAGTTTCCAACTGGGTTCCCTAGTTGTTGTTTCCAGGGCTTCAGATTGCAAGGCTTATACTTGCCCAATGTGAGACATCTTACTTGTGAACTGTACCTTCAGTTGCTTGTGTACTTTATAGCTGTATATCCCCATCACCTTTACCCTCGCTTGCTCAAGTATTTTAATCTAACTCCATATGCTGCAAATCACCAGGTTAACAAGTAATCCAAACCAAATAAACTCTGTGATGTACTTTTACGCTGATTCTTTGAAATAGCTATGTGCTAAACCCACTGCACTTCAGTTTAAACCACGACTTCTTTTTGCCTTAGCCACTTTGCAGTCCTACAACAGCTACATGCGACCTGTGGCTACTGTTCTTGACAATGTGGCTAGACGCTAAGTGACTTTGACTTCATCCCGTTCCAGATTTAGAAATTATTAAAAGCAAAATTTTCTCTTCATGATTTGGTAATTTGTTCTTGATGTCAAGAATCCATTAGCAGTTAAATGATTTATCAAGTTATCTTGCAATTAGAAGCTTAGTTTATCTACATCACTGTAATTCGAAACATTTGAAATAATCGGTCAGCCTATTGTGACTTCAATTAACTTTGTCTAAAGTGTGGGCCATAGTTTTTGAATGAAGGTAAAGCCAAATAGAAATATCATTAGAGGTTCTTAACACACAGACCTAGCACTGAATGCAGATCTACCAATAACAGGCAGGCAGGGTTTTTAACACTCACCTTCTTCATCTATAAATAGCAACACAAAAGAAAGCTAGCATCCCTACTTAACTGGTGTGAGGGACTGGTAACACCATGTATGCTAATTGCTTAGCTAGCTAATTTTTACTTTTACAACTAAGACATCTGGCAGAGAATATGAATGAGGGGGGGCTAGCTAGAGTGATGGCTCAGTGGTTAGGAGCGGTGGCTGCTATTCCAGGGGACCCAGTTTCAATTCCCAGCACCCACACTGCAGCTCACAACTGTGTGTAACTCCTGTTCCAGGGAATCTGACACCCTCAAACAGACATGCAAGTAGTCAAAACACCAATGAACACAAAAGTAATTTTTTAAGAAGAATATAAATGAGATAGAGAAGGACTTTGACTTTCTTTTGTCATCCATTAACATTAGAATAAACTTAATACGAATATTCGTCTATTCTTGTTCTTATAGTTCCACTATAATCACAAAAATAAGAATCTCTGATGATTAGATGTTAATCTAGGAAATATCACACTCATATTGTCATATTTTAAGTAGACCTTGAGTCATACCATTTTTCAGTACTAACAATATTATATTCAAAAACACATGCTCCTTTCTTTGATTTTATTTGGATCTTACCTCAGTAGGGTGCGCAGCCTTCATGTCTTCAAAACTAGTACCTAGAATCTTAGCTAAATCCTCCTTCATATCCCAGGAACCATCTGCATTTTGGAGATATATCAGCTGTGCCATATTATGCTCCCTACTCCCTTTGAGAAGAAAAGGAAATATAAGGTGTTGGGAAATTATGTCGCTGTTGTTTTCCTTAGTCTGAGTGGCTTTCTGAATTCAGAGCCATACAATAGCAAGTGGGCTGCAGAAAGAATGCCTTCAGACATCCTCAAGATGTATCCTTGCACCCGATATATGAAGGGATGGCCAGGGTAGAATGAATCAAATAAGATGGCAGCCCAGTTCTGCAGGCCCTGCGTGCAAGGAGCTTATGTAGGAAAAGATGACAAAGAGGGGTTAACTGTTAGTCTAAAAGGCACTCCAGAGCCTGTTAGAGCAGGTTGATAGATACTATACTGTAGGCCAATGGAGCTGGGCTGACCACAGCCAGTGCAGGTACCGGACAGATCTTACTTGCCATCAGGTGCTCCCAATAGAATTCCTGATAAGGTGATACAGAAGACTAGTTCCTCGATCCCCACAGATCAATGAAACAAAGTAAGGTCCATCTTACCTTGTTCGTAACTCTGATATTTGAGCAGGTGGGGCAGCTCAGGGGGGGTGTCGGTGTGAATCACACATTTCGTAGTAGTCTGGTGGTAACGAGGCTGCTGGGGTGCACCTAGTGGATGTGCAAGAGACAAACCTCGGTAAGACAACGTCCCTGAAAAGCTGCTCACGGAGACTGCAGGGGCCATTTTGATACATTGTGCTGAAAGGACCCTCACCATTTGGCCCACGGGTCGTCACTGCACAGTGCCCCGTGCGTATGCTCCTTGGAGGCTGAGGTACAGGAAAACCGGCACAGGGTAAAGTTTTGGGTAAATCTGAAAGACACCAGTGCAGACAGTTACACTGAGGCGCCTGTGCTCTCCAAAGCTAAAAAAGATGGTGAAGTCTGACGATTTGAGACACAAGCACTCCCGTCTTCTTCGGCTTTAGTTGTTACCTATATATTTCGTTCTTCTCCCATGTGCTGCCTTCTAGTGCACTCTCTGACCCACTCTACCTACTCCCTTCTTTCCCTCCACAGGAAATAATATTCCATCCATATTTTGATTCATCCCAGGGAGCTTTCAAACATGTGTTAACCTGAAGTGAATTTTTTCCTCTCATAATATTGCTATCGTTCCCAAAACGCCCTGGCTCATGAACTGTATCTGTAAGAATAATGGCTGAGAAGTGGTGCTGGCAGATATTTTGGGCCGACATGATCACACTTTCTCCCTCAATTGTGCTACCTCGCGTCTACATTTTTTCAGCCTTCTTTGTTACTTCCTGTGATCCACTGAATTATCTGAAACTCAGGCTGCTTACTTCCACTCCACCTCAATCTCTGCCATCAGCACGAGAATTCTGCTGCCAATGTGGGCAGCATATGCCATAACCTAATGCAAATGGACCTGAGTTCCTCAGATCCAAGGACTTTGGCTTTATTCTACTTCAGCACCAACCTCCCCACTCATGACACCCTTGTCATCCTCCAGCATTGTTCTACTTTTCAGAAATAAATTAGCATTAATATCTATGTATCTATATATGTATGTACATATATGTATATATACACACATTTACATATATATATATATATATACATATATATATATATATATATATATATATGGCGTGTGTGTATGTGTGTGTTTGTGTGTGTTTCCAGTGCTTTAACTCAGACACTATTATACTATATTTGGTCCCTGACCACATTTTAGAGTACTTAAATAATGTACTTAAATCCTCTGTTCTTCTACTTTTTCACTTAACATCAAGCTCCTCCCCTCCCCTTTTTCTATATTCAACCCAACACTTTGCACATGCTTACCAATTACTTAAATTTTTTTATCAATCTTTTCCTCTTCATCACACCTATTTGGCAAAATCCTGATTTTAGAATGAAGCCAAAATTTTACCTATATCATTTTTAGAAATTAGTGAGCATTGCTCAGATTAGTCCCCCAGATCATGAATATTTCTAGTTGTTTAGAAGGGTATGCTTATCCTAAGCAAAAGATTATATTTCTCTCTCAGCATTCCATTTTACAAGTGTTCCTAGTAGCTCTTTCAAATTTAGTCCTGTCAATGTGTTTCAGTCATTAGTCTTCACTGTGCTCTTTAACCTTCTAATCATCCAAACCACAAATCATCTTCAGCTTTTAACTTATAATTACTCAGGTTTATATGCATTTCTGACATTTAAATTTGTCTTTGTTTCTTTTCACACCTGGTTTCACTCCCAGTTGATATATATTTTATCTCCTGGGAAGAGAGAACTTTAAGACTAGTCACAAATCCTGTATGTGGAGAGATAAGAAAAAAAAAAAAAAACCCTTGAGAATGTTTTAAACATTTTCTTTATATAGTATTTTTAGATAGTAAAAACTCCTTATTCATAAAACTATTTACGGGATAAAACTTACCACTAGGGTAATTTCTTTGCCCCATAGAGGAACCACTGAAAAGAATTGACCTAGGAATCTCCCTTTGAACCAGAGGCCCCTGGACTGGCTCATTGAGCTCCTTGTTGATGGCAACAAAAGCTGTGAAGGAGCTCATGACTCCAGACTCTAAGCTGATGTCCAGCACATCTCTTTTATATATTAGTGTTGTCTCCTTGAAGCCAAAGTCTTTGGACTGGATCATGGACTTTGCAGCAAGACGATGAACGGTAAGGCTGAAAGAAAAAACAGAAAAACTTAAACGACAACAACAAAACACTTTCTTGTAAGAGGAAAACCCACATGCCTTTTAGTTGGAACCTTTAAAAGTTGCACATCACAGAAGGAAAAGAATATAAGAGAAAAAGGGAGGAAACATGAGTGAACAAGAAACAGAATGTGATTGTAGGGAGACAACTGAGGTCAAGGAAGGAATTTGGCCATCAAAGACCACAGGGATAAAGAAAGAAGGAGGGGAAAGAAAACAGAACTCTCACTTGTCATCAGCCTTGGGCTGTAGAGAAAATGTCACCTTTTCCTCGTAACTTTTGCCATGAAGTGTGAATTTGAGACACACTTCACTGGTAACCTCTTCTTGCTGTAAGTTAGAGAAGAAAAGAAAAAGAGGAATCACTAGGAAGATGATGATTACATACGCTGCAGGCCCCTATCACTAACTTAATGTATTCAAGTTTCTATCCATAAACCATGTGCTCAGGAGAGCAGGAATCTAGCATGATGAGAAGAAAGTCTGGCCAGTTCTAGTTAGTAAATACAATAACCCGTTGAAATTAAAAACCATCTACCTTATTCAATGAATCTGCCAGGCAAATAGCTGCCCCAAGAAGAGAGGTTAATATTGTGGACTCACCGGTATCTGTCCAATCAGTAGGGAGTAGATGATTAGCCTTTGACCCTTAAAGATAACAGTTTGTTCTGGAGATAGCATATGTGCAAATATCTCAGGAGGCAAACTCCATTTCAAAGAAATGTCCTCTACTACAGACTGTAAAGAACGCCTCAGGGATCTTAGAGCCTGCAGGAGGAGAAAGAACATAGTATAAGAAAATAATGATAAGGGATTGGTAGTATTAATGACTTAGGGGTCATCGATCATAATGAATGTTATATATAATCCCTACTGCTGTACATAGGGATAGCCTTATTGCTCATCCTTTGCAATATAAAGAGATTTAACCCATAAATGTGAGGTGGATGAAATGTTGAAGGGAGGAGATTCATAGAGAAGAGATTTAGTAAAGATGGTACTGTGAATCAAAGGCTCAGAAATATGTCTGGAGGTGGATTCTCTTTTTACATATTAATAAAATTCCATCAATTTGAAACCATTTCGATTTTATAATGCCTATCACACTTGAACTTCTCCTTTGCTTGAAACCTTTTGCAGTAATGGTTCGATGCCACACTAGAAGGGCTCCTGACGTACATACCTAGATCCTTAAGCATGAAAACCAAAATTCTCAGTATGTCTGCTCTCAACACAAAACCTTCAACTCTCAGCAAGTCACCTCTGAGCTTGTGTCTAAAAGGACCAGAGACATTTTTCCACATACTATAGTGGTCCCTCTTCTCACAGGCTGGAATTTCCCCCACTAAGTATATGAGCTAAACATTGAAGGCATTAGGCAACTGTCTCAAAGCTAAGTTGGACTCCTGCCCTTGAAGAAATGTCCCTTCTCTGTCTCAGATTTTATTTGTATTATCCAGTTCTTTATATATGGTGGACCCTCACCTTGGACTGCATCCTATCATTGCCTGTAATAAACTCCGCAGTGCCCCCTGATACCCGGGCAAGGTTCTTTATCAAGCTAGTGGAGGCCCCCTCTCCAATGCCAAATGAGAAGCATCTGTGAATGTAAAAAGATGGAGGTTAAAAATAGGACTTGAATGAAATTATCAAAGTAACACATCATTACCAAAAATTATATAAATACAGTGTACTTTCTTGAGTAACTATGAAATAACTGATATTCATTATATATGTTCTAGTTTAATGATACATTAAAAATGTCTCACAGTTATAACACAATCTGCCTATCCAGAGCCACCTGAGATAATCTCATGTTTCTTTTTTCACATGAGATCTGGGGTGCAAAAACCAAAGAAAGCTGTCCAAAGTAATACCCTACCAATTGATCTATTTAAACACACTAATCTCTTTTTAAATATGAAAGACATAAAGTGTCAGTAGCATTTTCATTACACTGTCTAGCATAGTGTTTGCCCTGGCAGGGTATATATAAGGCTACCTTTTTAAGGGGAAAGTCCTCATTCTGTCCAAGTCTATTCACAGTAAACCATGTTTTCCCCCCATAGTTTAATTTCCTCCAGAAGAACACTATACACAATGATAGTATATTGTCGGTAAACCAAACTAGCATTTTAGATGGTGTAAAATTGATTTCATTATAAATCAATACACTATAACATGGGCCTGCTCATATTGGGCTCTTTTGGTTGGGTTAATATAAGTCACAGCTCCCAGTGATATCAGTTATAAACTTACTGCTCCAAAATGTGCAAGAATCAGGACCACCCTCTTAATGTAGAGCACTGACTGGGGATTCTCATCCTATAGAGCATAGCCCATCGTGATCTTTATACCACATGTCAAAGTTTCCAACACAAACTTTCAACCATGATCTAGACTGTCTTTATGTATAAAATCAAATTGAAAGTTGTTCATGTCTGACTGTCTGCCCAGAGCCCACCACAGTGCTTCATGCAGATGCTAATAAAAACAATAATTACAATGATAGAAAAATTCATGATATTTAAATTGTATGAAGATAATTCCTGATGCTTATAGGGGTTTATTGTTTCTACTATAACAGTAAACCTTAAATTAATACTATTACTTTCTCTATTTAAAATAAATATATAAGGGTTAGAGAGGTGAATTGGACTTACCATTTAGTAATTGAGTAAGTAAGTACGTAAAGAAAGTAGGTAAGTACGTAAATAAATAAGTAGGTATGACCTACAGGAATGAAATATTTAGCTTAGTTCCAACACTCAGTGTGAGCTCTGCTCATGAAAAATGCTAGCTGTAGTTCTCTAAACTGGTAGAAAACTACACAAGATCTACAGATAATTCCTTTTCATTCTTTGAGAGTTTCACACACGTACACAATGTATTTTGTCCATATCCACCCTTCACTACCTTCTCCAGATCCTTCTAGACCCTCTATCTTAACTATCACATCTTCACATCCTCCAATTTACAGCCCACTGAGTCCAGTCAGTGCTGTCCACATGCACGTGGGTGTAGAAGCATCCATTGGCAATGGGCAACCTACAAGTGGCCACTTCGTTAAGACAAACCGATTGCCCTACTCCAGCAACGCTCATTCACCAAAGCTCCCGCTCAATGGGGATGAGTCTCTCTCCCGTTTATGCTGGAATGTCTACAAAGTATGCTTAATAAACACTGTTTCAGAACCTTAAAGGAGACAAGGCAACTGAATTATGTTTCCACCATGGCAGGAAGAACACATGGGTCAGTACCTCAGATGGTTTCCATTTATCTTGTGAAAGAAACAGCAATTACAAAGAAACAGGTAAAAATCTAAGCTTGGACTTTCTCAGTGCAGTGTCCTTTGTAATAGTTTTGGACAGAACCCTCTGGGGACACACACAATCAAGAGGTTCAAAAAGGTAAGGGTTAACTAGTTTTTTTATGTAATTGATGTGTATTTCTAGTTTTGCTTTTATTTTCATATAAAATAAATAATCTCTTGGTAAGTCTCAAAGTTTTCAAATAAGTGTCAAAATAAGTGCTTAGTGTTGGATAATCCGTTGACTACATTTGGCTTTGCTAAAACCTGATTTTCCTGGTAGAAATGAGACAGCCCTCATACCTGTGCCTTTGGCTGTGGAACTTAACTTCTCTGATTACATTAAAAGTTTCAACAACTTCTCCATCCGTGAAGATAAAGATCTGCACAAAAGGGTCAAGAGAACACCCGTCAGGGAACACCCGTCAGGTCACCGACAAATCGATTTCACGAGAATAGAACTTAACCCTTGAAGCAATTCAACTGATTTCCTTCAGTCTCTGGTGCATCTTGGATCACCAGGCTCCAATGTTCTGTCTTCACTTAGAATGTTTGCACAGGGTCAGTGTCAGAAACATTGGCAGTTTCAGCCATTAACCGTGCTAGTTTTGTTTCAGTTAAGAAGCCAAGTGCCTCTGACCTTTATTTTTCTCTCCTATACAGTAGAAGCCTGAAGTACAAGCAGTGTTTCCATAGTTTTGCATTGACATTCAAGAACATGTTCTTTTCAATTTTTTTCTTTATTATTATTTATTACAAATTATTCACTTTGTATCCTGTCTGCAGGCTCCTCCCTCATCTCCTCCCAGTCCTCTCCCCCACCCCATCATGTCCCTCCTCTAGTTCACTCTGCCCTGTTAGCCTTGTTCCAATTCATACCTGTAAGGGATGTCCTGGGATGGGGGGTTTCCTAAAAATTTTCCGTAGTGGCGTTAAGATCTCTGTCCCGCCTAGATCCGCCTGCATAAGCTTTACTTTCTCCACTGCTTTCTCCATGGATTGCTGAGTGTACTTCACGCTCTCCCTAAGAGAAACAAGCGCATGCGGTCATGTGACGGCAGCATCGATTGGTCAGGGCTGAGAAACTTCATCAAACAGCATCCTAAACTTGCCCCAGGCCCGGGCCCACTTTATACCAACGCTTTCACAATGCATTTCCTTCCTTCCTTTAAAATACATATTTTCACTGTGGACTTGTGGCATGACTATTCTGTGCTATATGGCTAATAAGCACTTATAGGTGAGTACATGCCTTGTGTGTCTTTCTGGGTCTAGGTTACCTCACTCAGGATGGTATTTTCCAGTTCCATCCATTTCCCTGAAAATTTCATAATTTCTTTGTTTTTTTAATAGCTGAGTAATATTGTGTAAGTGTACCACATTTTCCTTATCAATTAGGCAGAGTTCAGGGTATATTGTGGAAGACTGGGATGAAGGATAGAAGAAGCCAGCGAGGCAAGAACTCCACAAGAAGATCAACAGAGTCAACTAACCTAGGCCCATGGGAGCTTACAGAGACTGAAGCACCAACCAAAAGAACAGGCATGGACTGGACCTAGGCCCTGACACAAATGTAACTGATGGGCAGCTTGGTATTCATGTGGATTCCCTAGCAAGTGGAGCAGGGGCTATCTCTGACATGGGTTTGCCTGTTTTTAGATCATTTGCCCCTAGCTGGGAGACCTTGTCTGGCCTCAGCAGAAGAGGATGTGCTTAGTCCTGGTATGACTTGATGTGCTGGGGTGGGTAGGTTGGTAAGGGAGGCGGGGCTCCTCTTTTCTGGAGAGAAAGGGGATAAGAGGGAAGAGGGTGAGAGCATAGGACAGGGAGCAGAGGAGGAGGTGTGCATTCAGTATGTAAAGTGAATAAATTACTTAATACATTTTATATGATTTTATAACAGTGTGTGTGTGTATGTGTGTATTTGTGCATGCACATGATAGCACATACATGGAAGGTCAGCAGACAATGTGTGGAAACTGATTGTCTCCTTTCACCCTGTGTGTCCTAGGGATCAAACTTGGGTTGTCAAGCTGGGAACTAAATATTCCTACCTACTGACCTATCTTACATGCCTTCCTATATCTTCTTGATCTCTCTTTCTAGGAACTTACGGAAAGAATGCCTCATGGGTGGATCCAAATCCATAGATGTTGAAATAGCAACCCATAGGCAAACTCTTCAGTAGCAGAATCAGTGTTTCCTGGAGGTGAGAAAATAAGATGAGTGAAGTGATTAGGCATACACACACGCACACACACACACACACACACACACACACACACACACAGATGTCTGGTACACCTGTGGAGGAAAGCGGCTCTCACAGAACTTTATTCCATCTTGTATTCTAAGGAAACCCAGAGAACCCAACAAGGAACATACCTCCATCTTCAGCAGACCCTAACTGAACCCTGGACTCACCCTTACTGAGCACATTGCTCATCAATTTACCTTGGCAGCATCTATTCTCAGCTGAGACCTGTCCTGGCCACTCATGGGATTCTTCATGCTTCTTGAACGGTCCATAAGGAACACAAATTCTCCACATTTTGTTGAAGTTTCCTCTTCTGGGATGTCAGGGTAGAAGCTCACCATTGCAGAAGGAGCTCCCATTAAACTATCTGTTCAGAAATGATAAAGACCTTGTAAGAAAAAACAAGACAAACAACAACAACAACAAAAACAAAAAACAAGAACAATTTGCTGATACAGTCTCAAAAATATCTCTGAGACACCAGGGTTAGCATTTGCCTAAATCAGCCCACATATTTGAACTTTTTCAACAAATTAAAGCAATGGGAATTTATTTCATTGGTACGATGTCAATTGCAGAGCCCAAGAGATGACTTGGCAGGTAAAGCTGCTTCTAAGCCTGAAGACCCAAGTTTGCTCTTCTGGATCCACATGGTGGAAGGCAAGAGTGACTCCTCCAAGATGTCCTCTGGCCTCTGCAGATGCACCATGGCGCACCCAGCAATATGGCACACAAGCCCACACACTCACACATGAAGTAAATAAACACATAGGAAAAATGTTTTGAAGGCTAAGTGCAGTCGGAAAATGACAATGCTCATAAAAGTAACTCTCGGATTGACAAATTACAAGAGCACTGGTTGGAATTACGTGTGGCAGGACAATTGTATCCACTTTAATTATGGGATATTCACTGATACTCCACAGATGAAACAGACGCCTGGAGTCTGGTGCTGAACTGCAAACACTTGGTTGAAGCAATAGTCTGAGGGAAACTGCCCTATAATTATATCGTCAAAGTCAAAGATAAATTTTTTTATTTAAGAGAAAATGCTAATTGGTTCTGGGATTGAAAAACCAGTATTGAGATGTAAACTACCTGAGACTGGCAGGGTTATTGCAACCCCAGTACTAGAGTTTAGAGAACTCTGTGAGGATACAGAACTACACTGTATCACCATTACAAAGTGAGTTGGGCTGGCAAGTGTGACTTTTGCTAAGCCTGTGATCCCCCAACACCGTCTATCCCACCACAAGTTCTATCCCAGCACCATGTCTTTTTTGTCTTGCTTTCAGTTTTGCTTCATGGTCCCTGAATCCCATCAGGGCTGTTCTCATGGGCATGGGTGTTTCAGCAGACTTTATAAAGCATGAGGCATTATCATATTTGGACATGTTTGATCTTTTGAGAAATAAAAATATCATAGAACCATTTTTAATTGTATCTCTCTCAAGACTGGTCATGGTTCATTGGTTCATTTTACACCATTTGCATTTTTTTTCTTTCAAATTATTTGTTCACATTCTTTCCTGGCCACCAGACAGAACAACCAAAGTAACAATATTTGAGGATAGTTTTAAGAGTTCCTACAAGGTAGAGTCCAAGTGAGGAAGAAAATACCTGACTCCCTTTCAGGCATCCCCATCTCCACAGTTACACTGGGGCTGTGCACCTTCCTGTAGAAAATCAGGAGTTCCACATCCCGGTCAAATTTGTGTCCTTCAGCCAAGGAAACCTGAGAAGGGGACCAGCCGAGGAGTCACTTTAGAACTGCCACTGATTGCTTTGAGAGGTTGAAATCAGATCTAGGACGATAGGCTTCCATTAGCAGCACAAAAGTTGTTAACTTACAAAGGGTAGGTAAGAAAGACAGTAGCTAGGATGTGAGGAGGATCTAATAAGGATGGCTGAGGACCACCAGGCCAACAACTACAGCACAGAAGCTGGTAACTCTCTCACTATTTACCTGAGCTGAGGTCTTGTCATCTCCAATGTAGTCAATGTCGCTCAAGGGGCAGTTGGATTGGATTGTCCTGATACCAAGCTGGGAGTTAATGGTGGCAACCATACTGAGTGTGTAGGGAAGGTCCTCCAAAGGGACTATCGGAGTCTTCATATCCAGGCAACTGTCCACACATCGATCTACAGAGAGAACCTTAGTTCTGTGTTTCTTGTCAACATGTCTAGTGGTGCTTTTCCAACTTATGCCACCATGGATAGGGATCCAAGAGGGAGAGGTACTTACCAGAGAGATGGTACCTAGGATTCAGGATTGCTGGGAGCACGTAGCGCAGGGCCCCATCATCTTCCAGCGGAAGCTCCTGCACATATCTCAGGGTGAGCGCCACCTTTGACCCTGGCGGCAGGTTCCCCACATTGCAACAGAAGACATCCCTGGAGCACTTGTCTTCTTCCAGTAAGTAGGCCTGAAAACCCCCTGAGAGGGCCTCTTCATAGTTTCTGTGAGCCTATAGGGAATAACATGAGGGGTGAAAAAATACGATGACGCCAAAGAATGGACTTTGATGGGTGTTATCACCAGTAGAGTTACACTCTGGATGACTAATTATCTGAATCTCAAATACTTTTAGGCAAATAGATTAAAAGTAAAGGAAGGGAAAACATTTGGCACTAGCATTTTCCAGTTGCTGCATTTGATAAAGTCTAAAGAGAAAGTCCTATGGAGACAGGAAAGGGAGGTGATGAACTCATCCCTCAGACCTGGTACTTGTCCTGTAGTTCCGCCACAATTTTCTTCCCATCCACCAAGGCCTCAAAGCTGTAGACAGCAGAGTCTTCATCCATGGGGAACACAAAGAAGGCCTCCAGGGGGTCTTTCTCTTCGTTCTCATAGTTTAAGGTTGCAGACACACCAGCCACAAAGTCATTGATGGACAGAGTCACAGCAATGCTCTTCAGCGCCACTAGGGAAAGATCAGGGTTCAGTAGTTCAACAAGATTTTCCAGTCAGACCCACAGGCTAGAACCACCTAGGTTCTGAAGGATCTGGCATTAAGAATCTTGACTCTTGCTTACCTGGATCCCTTAGGCGTGTGAGTAAGCCACTAGAACGCACCATGTTGGCACTGTGAAAAGATACATAGTTTTTTATAGTATATGGTTAGAGTCAACCATTCAAATACCACCACTTTATTCTCTCTGGCAGAATGCATGTAGACATGCAGAGGAGCAGTTCAAGATCTAGGAAGAAGCATGTGGAGTGAAAAAGACAGAAATGTCAAAAGTAAGTTTTCTATGACGTGACGCCCCCTGTGGGAAGATGTAAAAACACGGTATCCACAAACTGGAAATCTCTGAAGCTGCTTTACACAATAATCCCACTTTCTCTCAAGTGTGGCTACAGTACAGCACTTCTCCTACTTCCTGAACAGGTACCATAACTTTGCCTGTCAGAACATTAGTATGTCCTTTTTAAGATGAGAACCATAACACCAGCATAAAAATGTGTCCATGCGTCTGGATGAGCTCCCTAGAGTAGGGACAGATCCTTAGAAGGTTTTTTGTCAATGATGACAGATGTTGACAGTGTTCCTGTTGTTATGTTCTCTATTTTTCAATCAACATCTGCTGGTTATTATTCCATTCACATTATTCAGAGACCTGTGTGTGGGCAGCTGCATAACTCAAGAGATATCTGCATTTAGACTCCCTGTTGGTGAGTTGTTTTGGAGGTCAAAATGCAAATACACCACCCATTTTTTTGGTCCAAGTTTTTTTCTAATTTACATATGAATATTATAAATGCAACATAACCTCCATTTAAAACTAAGGTATCCTGAATGTGTTTCTGGAATATTATAATATTTTTAAAAGATAGCATATGTTATGGTTTTAAAAACTGAACGAAGTTCAGACTTTGAGATTATGATTATGAGTGCCTTATCACAGAGTCTAACTGGCCTTAAGTCCATTAAGGATAACGGACCCTTCCCTCATGGCTGATTTTAGACCCCTACTTCCTGGTAACATTAGGAAACATGAGCTTGGCCCCACTTCAGGACTGAAAATAGCATATGAAAAGTTGGAGGTACTAGGGCTTTGCTGGGCACCATTAAAGGAAAGGTGCTTCTTCCAGGGCAGTGGAGTAAAATCTGAGCACTACTTTTGGCTCTAGGTAGAGCCACACACTACAAGCTATTCTCCTTCCCTTAAGAGTTAATCCAGTTGGGCCTGTCAATCACCTCTTCAGGAACCTCTCCAGAAAGTTGACAGCTAAAAAAGAAAAAAAAGAACAACTGTTTTCTTAATGAGATAATAAATTTATCCCTCCACCCAGTCGCCCTCCCACAGCGTGGAGTTCAAAGAGCTTTTTCCACATAGGATTCTGTGCCTACTGGCTTATGTGAATTTAACCCAAAAAGCTTTGGCTTGTTTGTTTGTTTTTGCCTTATTTCATGTCATTTTCGCATGACACGACACACTTTCTAAATGTTTCTCTAAACACCTACTTCTTTTTTCTACAGCTATGTAAATGCCCAACCTAAAAGGCATGGATGACCTCTCTTTCTTCTCCTGTCAGATGCCAAGTTGTTGTTGTTGTTTCTCCAAATATGACACAACTGTCCTTGAACTTCCTTCTGAAATCAGCTTCTAAATGTTTTTATTAAAGAGACTAAAATGGACACTGCTTTCCCAGTTACATTAATGATCAGTCTTAAATTTTCCATGAGAGCATCTCGCAGCTTTCTTTCCCATGTTGTGACGCGATGTGACGCAAGCTGCAGAGGCAGGAACCAACAAAGGTATTTTCTCTGGGACTGAAATGTCACTCCTGGAACACGCAGCAAGCTCAGGACAACTGATACTTTGATGCTGATGAACTGGCCCAAGGGTCAGTTGATCATGTACCTCCACCTTCCCCGGGACCTACAAGCCATGAACATAAGGACTCCTGTTTTTATTTGCGGTACAACCCTCCCTCAAGGATTCCAAAGCACTGGGTTGTGATACTTCTGGATCCACTGTCCCTCATTTAAGTAGCAATTTCAAATACATTTTGAGTTGTGATCCAGCTTAGTGATACAGCATTTGCTTAGCATACAGAGCGTGCACACATAGGGAGACAGCGAGGGGGAGAGGGGGAGTAAAAGGAAGAGGGAGAAGGAAGGGGAGAGGGAGAAGGAGGGGGAGAGGGAGAAGGAGGGGGAGAGACAGAAGGAGTGAGACAGAGACACACTTATACACGGGAGGGGGGCGGGGAGAGAGAGAGAGAGCAATATCCATATGGATCACACATTTGATATTCCCAGCCCCAGCCCCACAAATCCGGAGCTAGGATTCTCGATCAACTCTCACGTTATTCTTCAGCAACTGCAGAATAAATCGTAGCTGTTTAAAAAATGGTTTACTACTTGACAGCAAAACAAGAAATGCAACAGATGAAAACACAGAGCAGCTAAGAAAACATATTGAGAAAGGGAGCTTCCTTTAAATGAGACAAAATGAGACAGAGAAAAGCCTGAGGCTAGGGAAAAGAATTCCTAATAACAGCAACAGGAAGCTTAAACCGGGAAACTCACCTAGGAGTAGCAGAGCTGAAGGATCTACTAGGTCTGGCCTCCGGAGATCGCAGGCTGGCAGTGACCACTGCAGGAGGCTCAAAGAGGCAGACCACAGTCACCTATAATGAAAACAAAACAAAACAAAACTGCTTTATTTCTCTAATGTCTAATCAGAGTGAATGCCCCTCACGGAGGGCTCTCAACCCCCCTTCTCCCCTTTGTCAGAGAAATAGTCAGGTTTCCTTCTGTCTCTCAGGAAGAAATCGAGAGAGATGCCTGTAAGTATTGAGGGTAGAGAAGCATCAGGTGGGACCAAGCTCCAGATCCTGACCCTGCTGCTGCTGGCCGACGGAAAGCTTCTCACAGAGTAGGATCTGCTCCGGTGTGGACCCTCGGTGCAGTGCCACTGCAGTGAAGGGGGCGGGAGTGGGAGTGCGGAAAAACAGCTGGCCACACCCCTGCTGCTGACTGATGGGAAGGCTAGAAGCGAGACTCTAACCCTGGAGGAAACATGGCAGCACAGCTTGCAAATAAAAAAGAGGGTAATTTCAACTTTCAATTTTCTGTCCTTGATTTTCAGGACCGCAGGATTTACAAAAAAAAAAAAAAAAAAAAAGTCATTTTCCCGAGGTTTTGTTTGTTTGTTTGTTTGTTTTTAATAAACTCTTCAGGGCTTCAAGCAGCTTGTGTGGTCAAGTGCTTCAAACTGCATTTTCAAAGCACAATTTTACATAAAACTGGTAAATTAATTGACTGAAAGAAAAAGGAACTTTGGAGCTGAAAGAAGAAGGAGCGGGAAGATTTTAGGATGTAGGCAGGGAAAGAGAAGATCTAAGACAGACAGACAAGCTAGGGTGGATTGGTATCCCTTAGGGGGCCCCTTCCCTGAAAAGAAGTAGAGGGGGAGAATGGGAGGGGGTGCTGTGAGGGCAGGACTGGGTGATGATGGGAGAGGGAGCTGGTATCAGGCTATACAGTGATTTTTTAAAAAAAAAGAGAGAGAGAGCCGTAACTCTAAAACAAACAAAAATGACAAAGAGAGGAAAGGGGGCTTGCTTGAGGCTATTGGATGATTAAATGATTCTTGCCCGATAATTTTCCCCTAAACCTCCAATGGCGCAGAAATCTCCAAAAGCCCACAAGTACTCACTCCCCACTCTTGAAGCTTGCAATTTCAACAAGCCCCTTAAAGTGGATGGGCCTCCCAAGCCAGGAGAGAGGAGGGGAGGAAGACCGTCTTCAGGGGCAGGGTGGGGGTTGGGTGTTTTTAGAGCAAGGAGTGGGATTTGGTCCGAGAGCCTGCAGCGCTGTCACTCACCGTGCACGCGCAGAAATCTCGGTGCCGGGAGTCGAGAAAAGTGAAAACAGCTGCAGATTAATGTTCCTGGAAGACACGCCCACCCCTCTGGCCCTGTTGTAACTTAGCAACTCTATGACTAAAGCATCTGCAGAGAAGAGGATCCCTGTTGAATTTCAAAGCTTGCTATTTACCTCTGCTTGATTTCTGCAGAGGAAGGGTCAGAAGGCAGGCAAAGGCTAGCAATGTGCTTTGTCAAGTGAAAATGTAAAATTACAACAACAACCAAACAGGTAGGAGAATGGAATATGCTTCTGGGACAGACTTAATTACCAATGGTTTTACTCCAGCGCTTCGAAGTTGAGGCTTCCATCTCCAGGTCCCTGGCACGTACTCTCCCGCAAAGGAGGCCAGCTTCGACTGTGTAGACACCACATCTGGTGTTACTCACTGTTGGATGGAGTATCTAACAGCAAAAGTCAGGAGCTGGCAAAGCGAGCAGAGCGCTCCCTCCAGCCTGCTGGAATGAAAGCCGAGGACTTGTCTTCCACAGAGCAGACATGGAAAACATGTTGTTAGACTCGTGGAACATTTATGGCGCAATACATACAAATACATAGGACTTTAACCATAAATCCAAACCTGATTTTAAAACAATGCATAATTTCCTCTTTTCGTATTAAATGTTTAATGAGTCAGTGATCAAGCCCTTAAAGACTAACTCGTCATCTTACATACATAAGTATTACACATATATATTTATACATATATAGAAGGCACTGTTCTATGAATTTACATTTTGGCAATAATAGAAGATAGAAATATTACCTAATAGTACTGGCTAGTTTTTATATCAGCTTGACATAAGCTAGAGTCATTTGGGAAGAAATCTTGATTGATAAAATAACCTCACAAAATTGGCCCTTAAACAGGCCTCTGGGACATTTCTTCTCTTTTGAAAAGAACACTCTGTTTCTGTATTATATTAGACATTTGCACGCATATTTATCATCTTTTTCAGTTTTCTTACATATGTTCATTTTCGTTTTTACCTTCTTTTTACTGTTTTTCCTTGCTGTTTTCAGTTTTGCCAGTTTTTTCTCATTCTCCCCACCTGCCCCATTTCTCCTCGTTCAGAAGTCCTAAACTATGTTCCTTCCCGCTGCCACCTGCGCAATCACCAGTCCATTCAACTATTAAAGCTTCAGTAACAGAAAGCCTTGTCTTTTCCCCAAGTCACTCAGAGGTCTTGGGAGGCTTTCACTCAGAACCCAATTCATACCATGCCCAAGGCCACCATCACAGTCTTTACTCTAAATGTCATGGCAGAGGGGTTATTTTGACAGTCACTGGGCCTCACATGAGCCTGTGCTCACCAGGCTTGCTCAGAGCTTTTCTTCCCAGAATGCTGGGCCTTTCTGAGGACATTTCCTTCTTTCTAAACACATTCCTTGATGAAATCCCTTCATGGAAGTCTGTTTGTGGTGAGTGTGTCTGTAATTTCTCCAACAACATTTTTCATTTTCCCAAACCTTTAAAAAAGAAGTGTCTTTTGGATCCAATACCAGTTAGATTTTTACCTCCTGATTTCTGTTGCCCTAAGAGAGACATTGGTCTTTGCTCGAAGATCATCTTTTTGTGAGTAAAACTTTCCATTTCCTTCTGGATGTTTCAACATTCCAGTGTGTGTGTGTGTGTGTGTGTGTGTGTGTGTGTGTGTGTGTGTTTTCCTTTCACTAGAAGGCTTATGGTTTGAATTTACTTGATTTTATTGAATTGAGCATGTTAAAACTCTTGAATCTTAAAACAGATGTCTTTACTATTTCAGAAAGCTACTGGCCTTTGTCTTTAAATATCACATCTTTTGCATTCTCTGTATATTCTTCTTTCTTAACTTTAATCAAACTCTATGCATAAGTGTCTAATAATCTCTTTAACCTATCATTGAGTTTTCACTTAGTCATTTGTTTCTTTCCTTTCTTCCTACCTTCTTTCCTTCCTTCGCTTCCCTTCCTCCTTCCCTCCTTCCTTCCTTCCTTCCTTCCTTCCTTCCTTCCTTCCTTCCTTCCTTCCTTCCTTCCTTCCCTTTCCTTTTTAACAACCAAACATGACAAAATAAAACAAAAAATAAAGGAAAAGCCATCACATTGAGTCTGGAAAAGGCCAACCAACACAAAGAAAAGAGCCCCAAGAGCAGGCCTAAAAATGAGAGACCCATTTGGTGACACACTTAGGAGTCTCATAAAATACTAAGCTGAAAGCTATACTATATACCCAGAAGAACAGGTGCAGACCCATATAAACCCCATGCTTGCTTTTTCAGTCTCTGACAGATCACATGAACTTTGCTTATGTTGATTTAGAGTGTCTTGTTCTCCTGGTATCCTCCATCTCCTCTGGGTCTTACAGTCTTTCTGTCTCCTCTTCTGAGGGGTTCCCTGAGCTCTGAGAAGAGGAATTTAGTGGAGACCTCACATGTAGAGCTGTGTGTTTCAAGGACTCTCTAATGAGAGAGTAATGTCTGCTTGTAGATCTCTGCATCTGGCCCCATCAGCTGCAGGGGAAAGCTTCTTTGATGATAACTTAATAAGACGCTGATCTAAGCATATAGCAGAATAGTGTTAGGAATCATTTTATTGATTCCTTTAGTTGCTATTGCTGTTTTAACATCAGTAGTGTTCAGTTTTACCATAGATCTCTGGACTATTCAGTCTCTTGGTCTTGTTCACCAAAGAACAAGAGTATGAGTAACATCTTTGTAGCATGGGCTTTAAGTCAAATCAGACATTGATTTGCTACTCCCACAAGTTCTGTGCCACAGTTGCCCTAGCATACCTTGCAGGTAAGACAAATTCCAGGTCAAAGTTTTTGTGGCTGGGTTGGTGTTTGCATTTATCTTTTTTTTTTTTTTTTTTTTTTTTTTTTTTTTAGCCTGAAAAGTACCTTCCCACACCAAAGATTCTAGGACTTGAGGTTGAAGGATCCATGTAGGCATGAGCTTGACATCTCCACTTTCAATGAGTTGTATGGGTATTGTCCTTGTTAATGGGGTCTTGATGTCCATTTGCAAAGAACAACCCATTGTCTTAAAAATAGCCTGTTAGGTTGTTTGGGGATTTTTTTGTAGGACCACTTTGGCAAAGGATTCAACTGAATGCAACCAAGTCACAGAACTGGAAGCCTCGTTTGGTGCCAAGATATGGCAGGTTGGGACTCTGTCTTTCCTATTACTAGGAAACCTCATTAGGCTCACCTTCATATATTTTAGGACGTATGACATGCACTAGGTTTCCATATTACTTCTCAAAGGCGCATCAATAAGAGTTTTCTCTTCCCACATTCCAGCCCTCAACACTCTCTTTCCACCTGATTCTTCTAGATCCTGCCCCACTTCCAACCCCAGTCACATTCATCTTATTTTTCCTTTCCAGGGAGATCCATGTGTCGCTCCCTAGTTCCTTTCTTTGTATATAACTTCTGGAACTGTGGATTTTATCTTGGTCCTCATTTAATAGCTAATATCCTCACATAATTGAATATATACTGTATTTATAATTCTGGGTCTAGGTTGCCTCACATAGAATAATTTTTTTTCTAGTTCCATCCATTCGCCTGCAGATTTTATGTTGTCAATTTTTTAACCAGCTGAGAAATACTGCCATGTGTGTATGTATCTCATTTTCTTTATCCACTCTTTTATTATAGGACATCTAGATTGTTTCTAGTTTCTGACAATTATGAATTATGAATGAGGTTTCTGCCCCATTTTTAATTGGAGTATCTGTTCTTTCAATATCTAGTATATATATATATATATATATATATATATATATATATATATATATAT